GTAACAGGATTGAAGCTCTTCAGAGTTAATTGAAGAAAATAGAAAAGGAATTAGTCTTTTGGTGCAATCAACTCCTTAGGAATTTTCAAGAAAAGCAGTAGAGAAATGAGAAAGACTCAGAGGGAGAAAGGATTTGATGTTTTTTTATACTTAGGATGCATAAAACAACATGCTTGTGCAATTATCAATAAAAAATAATTGTTGGAGCAAATAATTGTTGAATTGGAGGGTGGGATGGGCCCTGTTAAATTCAAATGGCAGTGCACTACTGTCTTATGTAGGAACATGGATTCTTAATAAATGGGAAGGCTAAATGTGATCTCAAAATAGTGGGTAGCTCTACAAGTGCCTTCTGGGTAAGAGTCTACAAATTTATCTTCTAGTTGTTTCTATCTTCTAAATCCAAGTGAAAAAACTGGGTGAAACTTGGTAGACCATATCTAATGTACTGGTAGGTAACAATGGAGAGATCAAAAATTGACATGGACCAGGCATGGTGACGCACACCTGTAATCACAGCACTTGGGAGGCTGAGGCTGGAGGATCGCTGTGAGTTCGAGACCAGCCTGGGCTACATAATGAGTCCCAGGTCAGTCTCAACTACATAGCGAGACCCTGTCTCAAAAAACAAACAAACAAACAAACAAAAATTGACATGATTAGCTACTAAAGAGTTAAAGTGACCTTTATAAAATAAATTTAAGTGGAGTAACAGGATTGAAGCTCTTCAGAGTTAATTGAAGAAAATAGAAAAGGAATTAGTCTTTTGGTGCAATCAACTCCTTAGGAATTTTCAAGAAAAGCAGTAGAGAAATGAGAAAGACTCAGAGGGAGAAAGGATTTGATGTTTTTTTATACTTAGGATGCATAAAACAACATGCTTGTGCAATTATCAATAAAAAATAATTGTTGGAGCAAATAATTGTTGAATTGGAGGGTGGGATGGGCCCTGTTAAATTCAAATGGCAGTGCACTACTGTCTCATGTAGGAGCATGGATTCTTAATAAATGGGAAGGCTAAATGTGAGCTCAAAGTAGTGGGTAGCTCTACAAGTGCCTTCTGGGTAAGAGTCTACAAATTTATCTTCTAGTTGTTTCTATCTTCTAAGTAAAGTAGAAAGCAAAGTTGTTAGTGAAAGAGCGAAGATGGGAGAAGTTGCTGGTGGTAAGAGATTGAGAGACTATGTAGACCTAGAGCTCATTGTGTTCACCAGCCATCATCAAAAGCCCATTGGAAATCCAGCACAATATATTTACAGTGTTCCTTGATCGGATGGTCTTATTTAGCTATCTTAATGCAGTTTCATGAAAAGCAAATGTTTGGGTTGATCACCACATCAAATGTCAGAGTCCAAGTATCTTAAATCATGAGATCATAGACATTTCACTTAGGTAAAAAGAAAAACAAGGACAGCACAGTGCTTTCTTTTAGTAAAAACATGTTTTCATCATCCTTAATAATTCATGTACTGTGCTAGGTCATGCTTAAAAGTCAATAAATAAAGAAGAATCTGCCTCATTAGAAACTGTATCTCGAATGGAAAAATAAAAACAAAACACCCACTATTTTACATTTCAGAATTGATAAATATTATTAAAGAAATATAAATATTATTAAGCCATAAGCAAAGTGACACCTAAAAGATGAAAAAAGAATTTGCTGAGTAAAGAGGAGAGATAGGGTAGTCAAGGCACAGGAAAGAATACTGGCAAAATGAAAAAGCACAGAGGGGATTGTTTGGCATATGTAAGAAACTGAAGGGAAACCAGCATGGCTAGGGCATGCAAAACAACAGGGTGTTACACAGTGAGTCTGGAATGAAAATCCGGAGCCAGAGTGAAGACAGAAGTCAATTTTGTATTTCTGTTCTGTCAAAATCAGAAATGGTAGTCATTAATAAATGTAATTCTTCAAGTTCTACTTATAGGCCTTGATTTCTTTTGAGAATCAGATGGTAGCACTTTTTTGAGCTAGTAGTAGTATTCTTTCTTCTCTAGATCCTGCAAGTGCCCCTTTAGTACTGCTCTGTAGATCCCAGCTCTGTGGTTTGCTCTCTGAAAAACTGGATACATTAATCTATGCTAATACAGAAATAATCCCTAATGACTCTGTGCATTACTTCCCTGGTGCATTTACATTTTAAACGGGGATTTTCTAGTGACACAAAGAAGTGACTCTATTAGTGCACATTTTAGATGCTAAGTGGCCTGTTTCAGTATTATTCAAGCTCAACTGTTTTTCATTCAGAAGGAATAAATCTTCCACATGAGTGTATTATGTAGTAGTCATGTCTTTAAGTGAAATTGAGGTCTAAAATACTAAAAGAAGAAAACCATTTGCAGTTCAGTCTGTTATAAGAGTGTATATTCCTTGAAAATAAGAGATAAAAAAG